CCGGAGCTACAGCTCGCAGGTGCGAAAATTAATTTCCTGCAATCTCTGCTGCTGCTCCCCGTCGAAATTAATCGTCCAAAGGGTGCGTGCGAGAAGGAATGAGCAGAAGAGACGGATTTCCTTTTTTTTTCTCCATAAGATATTCTTACATTAGAATGAAAGTACCAGAGCTGTGGGTATGGTTCCTGTTTGCAGGTATGTACACTCGGGTATGGACCATAGTTCTCAACATTTGTACCTATCCAGGGGATTGTGTCATTGTTGCACAATTTAATGGTGATGATTCGACGGAATGACATTTTTGGGGTCCATGTAATCGTACAGGCGATATTTATTATACGAGTCTTGTAATGTAAAAACAAAAAAATTACTGTTTCCTACGTCCAAACAGAAGCAGGAGAGAGGCCAACGTCCTTCGGTGCGAATCTATCGACGGCCCGACCCTTGGACAATCTAACGGGACGCGCCCGTCCGCCGCACAAGACCCTCTTGTCTATATAACGTACAAAACGCATCGCGGAGCGGAGGCGCGTATCTACATCTCAAGCGCGTATACGCTGAGCGTCGCTGTGGGTATTTACGAGCAGCGTCCCCCGCCCCCGTCGCCCGAGACGGACGATAGAACAATACCTGTCCGCGCGTTGATGCGAACAAAGGGTGGGTGGGAGGTAGTAGTCGTACGTACACGTAAGCTCGCGAGTAGGTACACGCGCTTAGGGTTTCCTACTTGGCAATGAACTAGATATGCTTACAGGGGGGGGGAGGAGGAGGTGGAAGCGAGACACTGCCCACACGCGCGAGTGTCTCTTTTCTTCTTCTTCTTCTTCTACTTTTCTTGATATAATACACAGGGACGGGCGCCTGATAATATATGTGTACAGTGATGTCTTTGCTCTCTCCCCTCAGCTTTATCGTTCTTTCTTTCGTTTTTAATTGAATAATCATCGGTAATCTCTAGTCAGGGAGTGACGAGAACCGGTAATCGCCTGTTTTATAACCCAATATAAGCTCCCTCGTATATGATCCAATAATCTATTAGCCTTACGCTTGTCGGGCATGGTTTGTCACTCGGCGTTGACCAACTCGTTTGTTTTTTTTGTTTTTTTTTCCTCAAGCAATGTATTTTACGTAATGGTACATGTCGCGTGATTTGGTGATATGTTGCGCGAGGATAACGAAACAGGAATAACAGAGATATAGGTATTTTATATACGAGAGCGTGCTTCACTTGAGTCGAAAAATCCATGGGCCATAAGTTGAATGGATCATTTTTAGTCAACACGTTGAATTTATTTATAACTAAAATATATAATTATTGTTATTTATTTTGTCTGTTTTAACTATGTGTAATTTTACAACTATTACTTCTGTTGATTTCATTGTAGTCTTATTTTTTTAAATTACGTTGATAGTATTATAATGTGTAATTATTACGTATTTCACTAAATTATATTACTATTTGATACCACAAGGTTTAAACAAAGGAGTAAAATCTAATCTAATTCAAGTATACATGCGTGTGCTATGCTATACTATGATTCATTGACTGTTCCTCGATTGCTCAAAAGGATATCGAGTTAGCTCAAAAGAAAAACCTGTTTTTCTCGCTCGACTAGCCTCTAATCTGCTCAAGCCCCGCCACACAAGTACATGCACCTCGGTCGGCACTGCAATACACGTATACGTATATGTATACGTATAGGTAAATCCAACTCGAGCTCGCTTTCCCTTGGATTAGGTAAAATGCAGCTCGCAATGTAAGAAAATGTGAAAAAAAATTACTACAAAGTGATTTAATCTATATACCAAGGAAGGAAGTAGCTATTACTGTCTCGTAAGTTTTGTATACACGTACGCATAGTGTCGAGTTGTTACAACAATTGGGACTCGGCCAATAGAGGTAAAAGTGAAAATTATTACTATACGCGGTTGTTGCTTTCGCCCCTGCCTACTCGCACATAAAATTGTTACTTACGACTCTGGATATCGTGTGAATTTTACGTCGCTCGTATAAATGTACCAAAAATACATTATGTGTGTACTCAAACGAAGTGCAATGGTTGTTCCAAAGATGTCTCGGCCTTTAATCACAACTTTTAATCAACGAATGACGATTTTTCGTCGTACCTTTCAATTGGGTTCCTCAAAACCGGTTTATTTTCGCACATCTTGCGTAATATTATTTTTTGTCGATGATTCAAAGTAAGGATATCTGTATACAACGAGCTCTTCATTAAAAAGGACACGTATTGCCTTCGTTCGTGCATTTATTTAACATGATGTTGATTAAACGGCTCGTTCAATTAAAAATAACGATGATCGTACTCGAGTACAGATAAAGTATTATGAAATACATTTTATGGCTCATACGTTTTGAAATGGTAATTAGAGGAGGAAAAAAAGTGATTTCCTTTTAAGGTTTTTTCAAGATCCCCAGTTTTGTCATCGCCCGGGGAGAAACGACAAAATCCCAGAAATCCCGCGGTACGGGCTGTGAAAAGTGTACAAACATGCAACCCAAGCCCTGCACCCAAGCACATTTCACCATAAAAATGGTATTTCGGTACATTCGTATTTGTACTTCGCCTCGAGGCTTAATGTTCGAGTGGCGATCATCACCGCCGTGGAGCGCAAAAAAATTGTGCGCGGCACGTATAATAGCCCCCCCCTCTCGCCACGGGTGCTTTTACAGCCCTTTTTTTCACTTGAGCTCCGATCTCCAGGGTGAAATGTAAAATTGCCGGAGCGACGTTCTCGGAAGAAAAAAGCCGTATAGCCCTTATTTTTTTTTTTTTTATTTATTTATTTTTTTTTTTTTTCGTTGTTGCCCGATTCAAAAAGATCGGTGTATTTTGCGCAAAAGTATCGGTCACGCCACTGTACCTGCGTACCGAGAATCGACTACTTCGCTGTGGTCTTCGGGATTCTGTCTGTGCGTTTCGATGGAGCTTCTTTTTATTTTCCCCCTCGGTGTACGCACCGCAAGCCATAATGAGGGATGGAGAGTGAAAACAAAAAAACAAAAGTGGATGCTAATGGACAGTCGTTGTCGGGGTACTTTGGGGGAAATTCATTGCCTGTTGCCAAAAAAATGCACATTTTAACATTTGTCGAATTTAGGGTACAGGAGAATATGTTATGTTTATAGTATACAATTTAAATTTGAGATAATGATTGGTAATAGGGGTGACCAATAATTTTAAAAACATCGATACAAAGGATTTGTTGATTATTTGAATGATAAGTACTACACAATGTATTTTGATAAAAAAAATAACAGCTTAAAAAAACCTGGACAGCGACCAAGTTTGATAAGCAAATAAAGAAAAGAAAGGAAAAGTATAATAAGTACACTACTTGATAATTTTCCATTTTTTTTATTTTAAATAATATTAAAAAATGGGAAAAGTTTAAGAGGACTATTTATATTAGATGGTTAACATGGCTCGAACGTAAATAATTAACAGATAACACTGACCAAACGTATGTTTTACGAAAATTTTTTCAAACATGATAGGGATAAATTGATTAATTAAGACGTGATGGGGAAAAAGTTGACTATTGTGATGGATCTAATAATACAAAGACCTCACTATTTTCACGGGTACCAACGATTTATTGAAAACCTTTGTGAATGTTTGGGCAATACACATCTCCACTCGGCCGCGAGAAGATTATAACAAAATCAAGCACCAATAAAAACGTTTAATAGCTTCTCGACTTTGTAAATGAATTCCAATACACTCAATTATTTACGAGTGGGAAAATCGATGTAGAGATGCGATTATCAAGCGAATTCAGTTCCCTCAAATATTATCAATCCATCTGTGTACCACTCCTCATCGCGACAGCACTTTCCAACTGGACATGAAACAAGACAGATTCCTCGGAAAATTCCACGTACCGGCCATAATCATCATCGTGGACATCATTGTCCGATCGAGCCACGTTTTCCTCGTCCCAAACGAATACCGACGACAGCAACGATATAGCTACTGACATATACAAGTACACACATCCGCGTGAACGGTCCACGTCACTCATATCGTCCGACGGCGCCTAACGGTACAATGTACCCTGACCGCATGTGCAGGGACGTCGCGGGCCTCCCAAGGCGTTTTTCCTCTCTAACCCGAGGGACATGATTTCCGGCCGATCGCCGTCGAAAGAAAGCCACCCTCGCGAACAAAAGATCGTTTGTTACTCCTTTCTCGGCTTGTCATTCCACCGAGAGCCCACAGCCGATAGGGTAATCAGCGCCCTCGCCGATAACAGCTCATCACCCTCCTCCCCATGAATGCGCCGTGGCGTCATTGTCTTTCCTCTCTCATCCCCTCCACCGCTCGCAGCTGCACCGACAGGTTTCGCGTGTGCGTATTGTCTTTATTTTTATCACGGATAAATTGACCGCGTAGGATAACGACGATGATACTTGCAAGACGCAATCAGGAATCGGTATTATGCTTACCGATCGCGTTTAATTGATCACACCGGCAGATACTCATTACATCATTGCGCACGCATTTTAATGTACACACGTCACGCTGGATCATGGTTTTTGGTACATGTATAGAGGACGATTCGGTATATGTATACACGTGAGCTCCGATGATCGTATAATTAAGACTATATACAAACGAATGGACTTTTATCAAAGTTCCCCGGGTTGATCGTCCGGTTTGCCTGCAGTTATATTTCTTTAAACTCCAACAGCTACACCGGTAGAAGAAGCACTAATGCAACGATTTCGTTTGTCACGAAAGCTCATTGCACGGCGCGTGTGGAAGTTAATCTACAAGTTGCCCATATCGAACGTTCCGGTTGATTAAACATTTTTCAAAGCGTATACTTAATACTGTACAGGGAGGACACAAATCACTGGGAATACTTAAAGTATAATACATCGACACAGGAAACTGCAGTGCGTCGACGGTGCTGGAGCTGAGTCATTGATTTCACCCAATATGTGTACTACGTATTAATATGATGAACGGGCTTACCTGCAAAAACAGCATGAAGCAGACCCACTGGTAGTACCTGTACTCCTTCCTCTCGCTCTCGGGATACGACCTCGAGTTGTCGATCCCGGGGAAGGGCACCTCGTAGCCCTCCTTCTTCTTGTACGCCGCGGTGATGGTGTACGTGCTGTGTATCCAGCAGTACGTGTTGAGCACGTCCTCCGGCAAATCCTTGCTGTGTATGCAATCGATGGGATTGCCGACGTACTGCCGAGTGGTGACTATCAGGGAAAAGGCTATCAACAGTATGACGGTCAGGCTGTAGTGGAGGCGAAACACCGCGGTGTCGATGTGAATATGCGAGATCTTTATCAGGCTCTTCAGGCCGCGGAATATGTCCAACATCGTACCCTCTGCTGCCACAACTACTCTTGTATCGGCCCTTTCCCGGCTCACCACTTTTTTTTATGATAATTGTTATCGCCCCCTCGAAGACCAGTACAACGAGCCTTCTTGGACCGCGTTGGTCGAGAAAATCTGCGGGTCAATTCCTTGACCGCGTAGCCGTTCATGGTTTTTCCTCCCCTCACATATTTGCACCAAAGGTCACTTTTGTGCCACACCGCGCTCCTCGTTGTTGTCTCCTCCGCGCATCCTCTGTACTTACTACTCGCGATTCGAAGGGAAAAACAGGGGCAAGAGTGTTTCCAAAACTGCGGCGACCAGCCGTGGCTGCACCGTCCAATGGACCCCCGGCCATCCTCGCCCCGGTGTGCATTCGACTCTTCAAGCGACAGCGCGACTTTTGCGTCTGACCCCGGCCGGCATGTCCCCTTAAACGGCCGGAGCCCGCACGCTCCCGGCTTTTCTTTGAATTACAAATTCGACGTCGCCGGGCAGACGCATCGGATGTGCTCCCCTCGCGACTCGCTCCGATCTTATGTTTATCTTCGGCTCCCGATGTCAGTTATATCTGCGAACAGGAGAAAACTTTTTCGATACCCCCCCACTGCGTCTATTGATCACCGGGGGCTGCTACTGCTGCAATCAGGTGGATGCGTTTTCGTTGGCTCTCTCGAAAATTGTTGCTCCGCGTTCGCGTGGAAATTAGTTTTTGCGGTTGGGAAGGGGGGATTGGTGCCATTTTACGTGGTCCACAGATCGAGCAAACGACTTCCCATCCGGTTGGCGAGTGAAAAGAAAATTTACGTCTCTCGCGGGTGCGAAGAGCTGTCGTTGGCGCCGGCCAAATATTTGGATAACCCCATGTACAGCTCGCGAAATCCAAAATTAATCGGTCGGGAGTATAATGGAACGAAAAGAAAAAAAAACAAAAACAAATGTATGGATGAATAAACGAATAATCGCCGCTGGTTTTTGAGCGCGGGGTAAGTATACCGGCAAAAGTTTCGAACAAGTGCGGCTGGCGCGGCTGATCTTTCTTTCGCGACTAGAGGCAAAACTCGGGCTCTGGCGTATCATGACTCCCTCCCTGCCGTTTCTTCGTTCCTTCCTTGTTCTAACCAGCGAGTGGGTGAGCAAAAAAAAACGGGCAGTCATTAGAAAAACCCTGGAAATAATAGGACGGACTCGTATACGTACACGAAGGTATAGAGAAAAAGCGCACTTGGCATAGGCGCCGCTCGGCACTTGGCTCGTGCCCGGTACACCTCTCGATCTACCCACCACCGACTCATCTCCCTCTCTTTTACTTTTTTTCATATACCAGAACAGGAAAAAAAAAAAAAAAAAAAGGAGCGGGGAGGGATTAGGTACAACTCCGTTATCGAGATGTCGATGGATTTAGATTAGCGAGCGTTTAAGGAGAGCCGTAGTGTCAACCATCTCGTTGGCGCTTCAATCATCGTCATCATCGCCACGAGACGCGTCGGACGAAAACCAGAGATCTACCGAAATGATGGGTACTGTACGCGCCTAAAGTTTATTTACGTGGCGTGATATGTGTTCGGGGGCACGCGTAGCGATGCTGGAAATCACAGCTGTGCGCATCTTATCTTATATGTATGAAATATCGTTGATCCGTCAAATCCGCGAGTCATACGGGAGTTTGGTAAACACCTGCGATGATTGGCTAAACGCTGTCGATACCGCGGTTGGATGGGATTAAGAACACATTATTTTCACAGCACCCCGAAAATAGCGACCCCAGAAGTAGCGTATACCCCAAAGAACAATCGAACAGACCGATGGCCGGGGAGAAACGCGCCCAGCCTTTATCGCGCATATTACACTATCCCGGTCAAACGGTCCGTATCTGATCGGTTCGCGATCAAAGCAGGGGCTCGCAGGAGCCGCCTTGCACGCGCGTACGCCAACTATACGTAACGGTGTAAGATTGTGCGCGTGAAACGAGCTTCGGTCTCTCACTTTTCTGATGTTGTTTGATGTGCGGGCCATTCTAATTTCGGAGGCAACGAGGGGGGGGGGGGGGAAAGCTGCTCTCTGCTGCACTCGCCCTCCATCATCCGCAAATGTACGGACGACGCGCACCGGAATAGCAGTTGGGGGATTCCCCTGTTTCCTCGCTTTCCCTTCGACCGGGCGTTTTTTTCAAAGTTGAATCTTTTCTGCCTCGCGTCCATACGAGTCCATACGAGTGGAACAACGGACACGCTTTTTTAATGTCAATTCGTCCACACACACGCAGTGCCTGGAGCACGTAATAAAGACCTCGTCATCGTTAATTACACGACTACGAAAACGCGCGCGCGCGAGCGTGTTGTTGTATTTCCATTTCTCCTTTTGACACGTTGCCCAGTGTCAACACGACCCTAAAATGGCCCGCTATTTTGGGACCGCGGAAATTTCGTCTCCACGACGTTTCCCTCCCCCTCTCGCTGAGCGTTGCTGCCCGAGTATATATGTATTATATTGTGAAAGACTCGCCTTGACAAATTATTAATACACCGAGTTTTATTATGGAAGGGGACAACGGAACTGTTGTTTTCGTAGTAGTGAATCGTTGAAATGTCGACTCCATAGTTGTGGGACTCGTGTAAATAATATTCGAGCTTTTCCCAAACGCATACACTGTCCGTAAACAATTATCCAACGGGAGATTTCGTTGTTGTTTCAAATGGTAGAAAATGTCCCCCAAAGTTCCCCGTTACGCGTCACCGGCAATGTGCAGGGAGACCAGTTTACCTCTTCGTCGCGATTTGATTAACCATCCCACCCGACGACCAAATTGAACGACCGCGTGTGTTGACTCACGTGTATAGGCGCAGGGGGCTGCGTGTCTATTAGAATCGGCGTTAATTGAACCCGCGATTCGCGCTCAATTTGATTAGAGAGAGCTAATAACAAACCTCCTCTCTCTTTCGGGGGCAAAATTGCATTGTTGATGTGGGTGATGGGGCACTCGCGGGAAACCATTGTTGGCTTGGTTTGTTGTTCGAATTGTGTTTTTCCTGCCTCGGATTCGCGCGATGTCGGTCCATGTCTGACGTATACATATTTAGAATCACCATAGTAGCTGAGCTATGTTTAGGGAATAACGGGTACTTTTTTTTTTTTTTTTTTCAATAAGAAGTTCAAAAGCATATTTTATTCATGAATGAAACAGAGAGGAATTTTCGATTTCCAAACGTATAAAGAGTCCGCGTTAACGCTCCAGCGTATCTAAATAAGAAAAAGAAAGGCAGAATTTAAATGTGTTCCTCGCGTGGGCTAATGAACTCTCGGCCAGACTCCGTTTGATCGACGATGGCATCGATTAATTAACGCCCACGCCACGACGCTTTTTACGAGCTAACAATCGTGTATAGGACTTTTTTTTTTACATCGCGTGTCCCCCCGTTTAGGTAGTTTGACGCAAACATTGCTTCAGCGTATTTGTGGAAAATCACGAATTTGGAGATTTATGTACGCTTCAACGCGATTTTCTGAAAAACTTTGGCCACCAAACGCTTTTAGCAAGAAAAAATAAACAAAAATTCCAATGAATGATAAAAAAAAGAAAAAAAAATGTCGATAAATAATCTCGATAAATATAACCGGCACCAACGCAGCTGATACCGTCGACGACTCTATGGGAAAAAAGAATGGGGGGTAAATGTAGAGACACCGAAACCCCAAAGAACGTAGTGTGTAACACACAGCAACGGTGCATGGTATCGCGTTCCCTGCAGCCACTTGTTACCCACGCGCACCCCCAAAGCCCACAGACAAATAAAAACCTCCCCGCGTCCGATAAAAGCGACGCGTTACGGCTTGCGTGTATATTGTATACGTGCGAGCCTTTGCATAATTTTTTCCCCTCGAAAATGCGGTGCTCGATTTGGCGCCGAGCCAACGGTTATCCACTCGCCCGCAGCCCCGATAGACGCGCGTATGTATATATATACACGTGTGTGGCGATCAAAAATAATACCGCGAGAGGAAGAGGAGACGCTTTGCATCGGGGGATACCATGAATCACCGATAATAAGGATTTGCCGTTTGTTGCGTCCAAAACGTAAATGTATTTTTTTTCTTGATTTCTCCTTCCTTTCGAGCGAGTATCAGGGTCAGGAGGGCGTCGGTCCGAGGCCGTAATTTAGAGGCGCCGATAAACGACACGATACGATTTCGGAGGAGGGAGCGATGATTTATCGCACCTATGGTCTCGAATCATCAAATACCATACAGCAAAAAAAAAAAGATACAACTCCACACCTCTGATCCGCGCAAGGTCGGCCCATACGAGCGTACCGTCTAATAAGCAAACACGCACGCCTCCCGGCTCGCGTAAAACAAACCCCCTCGTGGCAACTCGGTTCCAAATTTATGTGGCGGCCCGACCGATTAGCCGAACAATTATCCCCGAATTCATAATATACTCACTCTTTTCGCACGACGGGGGAGCCGCGAGGTAACCTGTCATCGGTTCAATCCGGTCACGCGCGACCCATCCCTCGTGTGCGTACACATTATTAAGCCGCGCGCGGTGTGCTCTCGACCCACTATTCCTCCGCGCCGCAAATCAAAGCTCCGGCCGATACATCAGCCCAGGGATACAGAGACGTGGTCGGCTCGTCAAAAATTAACGCGTCGAACTTTGTCGTAGTCGTCGAGCTCGATGGTTCCCTCTGCCCCCCCGAGTGCCGATGGTACCCCAATTCACGAAGTGTCGATAAATTTCCCATAATCGGGCCGAGATCGGGTGGGAGGGTATATATATACGGATACCCCTTGCGAAAGGCTAAAAAGACGAAAAGATCGAAAGAATCCCTCTCTCTCGCTTGAGAGAAAGAGCAGTGGCGGCGCGCAGGCGGCCTTTTCTATTTTTACCGCGTGGCTGCGAGAGGCCGGGGGCCTCCACGCTGCCGAACGTCTGTATACGTATACAGGGGGGGGGAAGAGCACACGTGGGCAAATCCATATACACGTACGTAAGTATATAGACGAGAGGGGGCACATGCATATTACCGTTCGTTCGATTAAAGCCTCTC